GTTCTTTCTCTGGCCAAAATATTTATTATCTTAGAAGGAAAAACAATCATTTTCACTGAGTGTGATGAAATGTCTTAAATAAAATATAACTCAAGAATTCTGAAGATATGAAATCTGACAGTGAAGAGAGAAGACATGGTTTTGTTACCTTATTTCATATTTTTATAAGGAAATTTATCATAACCCAGACTTTGCCCTCTCATTTCTGGTGCAGTTTGTGAATTGTTTTTCAATCTCTAATATTTGGATATATGTAGGTAAAGAGATTGTATTACTTAGGATTTATTCCTACTTTTAAACAATAATATAGTCCTACTTGTGAGATGAGAATTGTTGAAAAACTAGAATATATTTTTCTTCCATCATAATATTAGTGCCCTAGAGATCAACAATAGGAGATTCAGTGTCTTCTCGCACAATATAATTTTCTTTTTTTAGTCCTGACCTACTAGAAGCCCCTCAAGTGACTGCATGGGGCGGGGGGCGAGACCAGTGGTTGAAAGCTCTCTCTTAACGTTGGGATTTTTGCAAGTAAATTAATGCAGCTCTTATTAGCATTAATTCACCTTCTGTCCCCTTCCACAATATTGAATGTGCCTCTTTCCAAAGGACAGGTATGGTAGCAGAACCTCTGAGAGCACAGCTTCACTGCCAGGGACACTGGAAGAGGGGGCAGTACTAACTGCAGATTCACAGGGCTGCTGAGCAAATGACTGTGTGGGTGCTAATGCATGTATGTTTGTATTCCAGATCTATTGAGTTTGGCAAGCAAACATTGCGTGGCAAATAGCCCATAGTAGGGGAAAATTAGACCTGTTGTTGTTATCTCTTTATAGCCCATAAATGAATTTCTATATGTATCTGAAATTATTACATTTTTCTTTGACAAGAATTTATAAATAGCATTTAAAATAAAATAATAGCATTTTTAAATACAGTTAAATCTCCTTGGGCTAAAATGTGTATTTGAAGAAGGGCTTCATGTCTTTAGGTACCACAAATAGATACAAAGCAAACACAGTTATAAAATACTGCAATTAATATTGAAAAAACTAAAATAAATTCAAATAATGTATCATCATTTTACTAGATTATTCCAGATTTTCTGCTGGAATTTGTTCATATCCCTGGAGCAAGTCCTTGGAGTTTAGCTTGAATAAGAATAGAGGTACCTGTTCCTGAACTCCTTGCTAAGGTCTCATTGAAGTTAATGGGTGTTTTGCTAGAATGAGGTATGTGGGATTTGGCCAGTTGTGTCTTGTGAGTGCTGAAAATTCATGGTATATCTGTACATTTACTCTGCATCTTTGTGAATCTTAGAATTTAAGCCATGATTATTTTGAAAAACTCTTTAGTTGCTTTATATTGGTGGTATGATATGGACTATAATATGGACTATAATCTAAAGACTTCTAAAGCAGAAGTCCTGCTGCATTGGCCACTGGCTAATAGTTACAGTGAAATCCTTTGCTTTTAAAATCTTATTTTATATTGTGTGTAATATTCAGTATTCAGGTGAGAATTTTGTTTATGTACATCCAGTAACTTCCTCATTGCTGAGGATACAGACTGGGCAAATGGATTACCAGCCCAGTGAATCAATGGAGTTAGGTCATGGATGATTTTGACTCTCCACATTTAAATAAAACAGTAATGTAATAAAACAAATTAAGTTGTATTATTTGTATGTTACTATTTAGATTATATATTACCAGTTTTCAGAACACAGGTTTCTATTAATTTTCCTCATTCTATTTGCAGAAGATTTAAGAACAGCAAGGACTGACCACAACAGTTGAAATGGATAATAAAAATATCAAACTACATAATATTTAAGGGTTTTATTAAAGATGTTGCCCATGGACAGTTTTTATAATTCTAGTTTCCTAGTCCTCCCTAGTGTCTTTGTAGCTGCTCTTGGTTCTTGGTCTGTTCCTCTCTGAAGCTGCCTGAGCTTTTCTCTTCTTCATTTCTTCTCATCTGCAGCAGCATGCTCTTATTGATGTTAGAGAAGAAACAGGAGAGACAGGAGCAGATGGGCTAAACAGAATTGCTTTATTGCCCAGGCACGTTTACCTCAGATATTCAACACAACATCCAAGTGGCAACAATTTGGCAACAATTACACCCTTCTATCTTTTAGGATGTTAATTCACACATCTATCGCTACTTTCCCTAAAACCTTATTTGGTATGTTAACTCCCATACAATGAATATTAATAAGCAAGTGATGAATATTATTATACCCACCCCTAATTACTATTCACAGAATTTCTAATTAAATCAACACTTACCTATGCTACAAACTTTCCGAATCAGTGGGTTACAGAGGTTACAAGAAAAGTAACCCTGAAATATTTATACAGAGCCAGTGAGGGTAGATAAAAGATGCAACAAAGTAGAGCAGCTGCATGCTTATCTATTTTTCTAGGCCACAGAAATGAAGGGAAATAGCATATTTATACATCAGAGAAGATAATATCTGCTTTCGCCGGACCTTAATCTATCTTTCCAGACTGCAGAAACAAAGGGAAAAATATGCTTAAGGGCAATGCTTGCTGTGGCTGACCCTTACTGCTGTCTCAGACCCCTATTGATTTTACATATCCCAACAATTGACAGTACAGTAGTGGAATCTAAGGACCCTCCCCCACACATTTTATTTTCTGTAGCCACTTCAGGTTTCATTTGCCTTTGATTCTTCCATCCTTTAAGAAACAATATTATTCTATGAGCCAAATTTAAAGAGGTCATTATCCTAAAAGATTTTATCTTTTAAAACTGTTTAGATTCAGTAAGGGATTGCTGAGGAAAAGAAAGGAAAACAAATATGAAGGGGATAGTACTGTACTGTAAACCATACAGCATATATTTTTCTCATGTATTTCTAAGGAAAGTTGAACCTACATGCAATCACAGTTGAGTTGACTTATATTACTTTTTTGCCCAAAGAATTTCTCAAGTAGGGGCAGGAGCAAGGAGAACAGATAATGTGGGGTGGAATAAAAGGAATACTACATTATTGTTGTTGTTTAGACATAGGGAGCTAATGGCATTTTTAACTATTTCTGTGTACAGGTTTACAAAGTATTTCATAATATTATATTCTTATAGCATTTTTAATATTACTGAAGCAATGGACCTATTCCAGAATGAGACATTCACCAATCTTTTGAGGCAGTTTTTCTAGGGATTGGCTAATTACACATCTATCTGATTCTTCTTAGATTTTGCAGCTGCCTTTAATCTGATAAAAGTAGTTGTCTATAGGGAATCACACAACTAATATATTTTACCTGTTCACTTTTCCTCCTACCAGGCCGTAATGTATCCAGCTGAGGATATATGCATTTTACTTAGTCTTTTCATAAGGACATGCTCATCAGAAAGATTTTTTTATTTGATGGAGATAGAGTAAGAGCATTGACCAGTAAAAGCAGTGATAGTAATTACAATTCATCTTGCTTATAAATGATTAAGATATATTAAACAATGAATTATTTTGTATTTTTATTTGGTTTAGGGACATAAATTAAACTTGTCTGTCTTTCATTTAGCCTCATCACAAATCCCAAGAATCATTCTAGTTTGTATGACTATTCTCTCATGTGACTGTGTGCCTCACAGTTCCTTATCACTGGTAGTTGGCCTCTTCTAATTGTAACTAGTTACTTTGAACCAACGTGAAATTAGGAGGCAAAATGTCAATTAATCTTTGACATTGGTCATTAGTCAAATAGCAGTAAAAGGAGCTCTTTCACTAGTAATGTTGGCAAGCCTCTTACCAGCTCCTAAAATTTGAAAAACAAGGGAAATGTCAGTGGAAGGGTAAAATGTTGACACAGTCACTTGGTACACTCAGTGACAACTGTAGATATGTACTAAAGTAATGCTATTTTACATGATCAGAACTACATTTTAGACTAGATGGATTCTGTCCATAATAGTATTTAGGAATACTGTACTACTTTTTATTTTAATATATAATACAAAGTATCAGTTTGGATTCACAGTTTCAGACTTGGTAGTGGCAGTAAAATGTTAATTTGTATTAAATTGAGGATAGAGTTGAATCTGTAAGAGGAAATGAGAGTCAGACACACTAAAAATAAGAAAATAAAAATGAGCAACTCTGGTAAAGTAGTCCTGGACAAAACAAGAACAATGCAGGGAAAAACTTTGAGTACAGCAGCAGCAATAAGGCCAGAGTCGGACAGTTGGGATAACCCAATTGTCCTATTGGATAATCAAATATGAAATCTTCCTAGCTTCTAGACATGTGATCAGGAAGTGGGGGGAGTGGGGAACCCAGGACTAACCAATCCCATCATATCTCATAATTTAGAACAATTAGCAGTTGCTGGTTAAGAGAGAGACATAGCTCGAATAATGAGGAGGTATATGGCAGGAATTAATTGCATTGGCTGGGATGTGCAATGATGGTTACACTGTGTGTCAGTGCACTATATCAGGATTCAGCTATTAGCAGTTCACTTTCATAAGCAGCAAAGAATCTGCCCAAATCACTTCTGGGTATCTTTATTAAAGATAAAACAGTGATGGTAGTGTCAGTACCATAAATTCAATTGGTTTGGAGACAAATACAGATTAGAAAACAGCTACACATCTACAGGACTATGTCCCTAGTTCTACAAACATATACATGTGCTTAATTTTATGCACACAGATAATGCATTTGATTTCTATGGAGCTGTTCACTTGTATAAATAAGCATATAAGTGTTTGCAAAATTCAGATCTTAATCAAAACTGGTCTGGTCAAAAATTAATTTTTATTAATTCTTGATCATAAGATGGAAAGTTATGCCATACAAATGACTGGTAATAAAATTAGTAAACAAGAGATTTTTAGTCCGCTAATAACAGTATTGAATATTTTGCATTAATTATTATGCAAAGCATCTTTGTTGCTCATTACTGTAATTTGGAAGAGTATGTTTTGATATTTTATTAAGCAAAAGAAATATGTTTGTCTTGCAGTGCTGGAGCTGGAAGAACAGGTACATTCATCGCACTCAGCAATGTTCTGGAACGAGTAAAGGCTGAGGGGCTCTTAGATGTGTTTCAAGCTGTGAAGAGTTTAAGAATGCAAAGGCCACATATGGTGCAAACGCTGGTATGATATTTAAGAATCTTTGTCAAATGATGTAAGTTTTGTAAATGTTCTACTGGAAAGAACAAAGGCTCGTTTTACCAGTTACAACAGATGTAATACTATAGGACTGGTGTTAACAACTATATATTTAGGTTGAGAGAGGTATTTCATTACAAAATAATAATACAGATGTTTATGATAGGCTTTCAAAAAATTAACATGGGGTAAAAATTCCTGTGTTTGCTGTTCAGCCAACTTCTGATTATTTTTAATTTTATTTATTTATTTAGTAGAGTAGGGTTGTTATGGATTTTTTTAAAAAAATCCATAGGAACATTCTTGAGCTACCATGATGGAAGCAGTGGCTGGAGCCAGGGCCTTTTAAATCACTGATAAAGCCCTGGGTGGCATGCTCCAGCCAGCCCAGATGGGATGACTGAGGGAAGCTAGCCCCAGCCCCACCTCTTCCACTTGAAGTCCCGTACCTTCTGGGGGCAGGGAGCCACATACCCTCTTTGCTCAGGGGTCTAGCAAGTCTCTTCACAGCCCTGATATACTTTGCATTTCTAGGACTTTACATTCAGCAGTCTCAAACTGCTTTACCGACAGTAGTCTCAAAACATTCTCTGAGGTACATTTTTTCATTCATTTTACAGGTAGGCAAACTGAGGTACAGAAAGGTTAAGTGACTTGTCCAAGAGCACACAGGGACTCTGTGACAGATGCAACAATAGAGCCAACATCTTCAGAGATCCCAGAGACCTATGATTTAAGCATTATTATGGTTGTGGAGAAAACATTCAAAACATGAGCTGAATGTAATGCAGAGATGTCTGCCGCAGTCCAAAACAGCAACTCTAAGCTGTGAATCTTCCATTTGTTAAATGGGAGTGAATGCAGATCCCAGTGTTGATACTTTACTGCTGTCAACATTAACTACCAAATGGTGTAGGAATGAAAAAAGTATCATATCATGAAGATTCAGAGATTCATATGCCTCCCTCAGAGGGCCAAAGAACTAGCGAGGGGATCCTGGAAGATACATACATTTAAGATGGATAGGCCTTTAATGACACATGGCAGCATTGCTTGCGGGGGAGGGGGACGAGGAAGGGAAGTAGAATGGTTTCATTTTTCTGGAATGGAACTAGAGTTGCCAGACATCCAATTTTCAACTAGAATGTCCGGTCTAAAAAAAGGGGCCCAGGTGACTCCAGTTGGCACCGCTGACCGGGCCATTAAAAGTACATTCAGCGTTGCAGCTTGGCCCCAGGGCTAAAGCAGGCTCTCAACCTGCAAACTCTGTGTGGCTCCCAGGTCCCTGCAGCCCCTAAGAGTGGGGGAAAGGGCTTCTTGCACTGCCCAGTGCCAGTTCAGTAGTCCCCATTGGATGGCAGCTACAACCAGTAGGAGCTGAAGGGATGATGCCTGCAGGTGTGAAGGCAGCATGTAGAGCTTGCCTGGCTGTAAATGTACCTAGGAGTCATAAGGAGCTGTCAGTTGCTTCCTCGGACCTGTGGTAAGCACTGCTGGGACCCCCACCACCTCCCAGCATCACAATTCCATCGCCCAGAGCCCCCTTCTACACCCTGAATCTCTCATCCCCAGCCCCACACCACATCTGCACCTCCAGCCAAAGCCCTCCCCTCCCCTGCTCCCAAGTTCCCTGATGCATCCCAAAGCCCTTTCTTGCCCCTGGAACCTCTCATTTCTGGCCCCACCAGGGCTATGTCTAGACTGCAGGCTTCTTTCGAAAGAGCATCTTTTGAAAGATCGCGTCTAGACTGCAGGCGGATCTTTCGAAAGAAAAATCCGCTTTTTCGAAAGAGAGCACCCAGCGAGTCTGGATGCTCTCTTTCGAAGATGGCCTCTTTACATTGAAGAACGCCTTCCTTCGAAAGAAGAACTTTCGAAGGAAGGCGTTCTTCCTCGTGAAACGAGGTTTACCGCCATCGAAAGAAAAGCCGCGTTCTTTCGAAATAATTTCGAAAGAACGCGACTTGAGTCTGGACGCAGGGGAAGTTTTTTCGGGAAAAGGCTACCTTTCCCGAAAAAACCCCTGATTCTGGACATGGCCCAGGAGCCCACACCACCAGCCAGGGTCCTCAGTTTCCCCGTGCAACCCAACCCCTCACCAGTCCAAAGCCCCTTCTGTACCTCAAACCCCTCATTCCCATTCCAGAGTCCACATCCCCACCTGGAGCCCTCTTACCCCTTCTACACCCCAACCAGCAGGGCTCACCAAGCAGCAGCGAGCCCTGCTTGCCAGCACAGACTGTGCTGCGCAGCCCCTCCAGCTTAAAATCTACGTGCCATGGGTGAGTAGATTGAATCATTTGTCGAGTCCTGCCAACCAGTGTTCCCTCTAAGATTTTCCAACCACGGGCAAAGTGAGTTTTGGCTTGTGCACCAATATTGAGGTCACGTGCGCTGGTTTGGAGGTGTGCCACTGTGGCACCCAGTTTATTAACACACACACGTTCCCGGCCACTGCAGCAGAAACCTCCCCTCCCCTGCCAAGCAGCATGTCCCATTCCTAGCCCCTGCCACATGGCAGACCCAGCCACCAGAGCAGCCTCCCTGGTCACGGCAGATCCCAGCCCCTCTCCTCCCCCCCGCCCCAGCAGCTCTCTTACCATGCTATCTCAGCTAGCCTCACCCACTGGAGCAGCCGCCTGCCGTGCGGCCCTCCAAAGGAGGTGGGTGGGGGAAGAATTTTTTGTGAATGGCTGTGCAGACATGCACCTTAATGGGATCTATAACCCCAGCCTGGTGAAAGTGAATGAAGGTGGGGGAGAATGAGTGATGGAGAAAGGGAGAATGGAGATAGCAGAGATGGGGCCTCAGAAAGGAGTCGGGAAAGGAGTGTTTGGTTTTGTGCGATTACAAAGTTGGCAGCCCTAAATCAGACTTAGCTTTCAAAAGTTTGGAAAACACTATATTATGGGTCTGTGACTTTGGAAGAAGGTGAGGTCAGTGTTAACACTGGGAAGAACAAGAAGAAAATATATAGTGTTGCTAAATGCTGTTAAATAACTTACTTAGAAGTGACTGCATTTGAATTATAATTGGGAAGAGGTAGATACACATTTCATTTGTAAATTGGTTGGGTTTTTGTATGTGTGTAAACATATGAGAGAAAATATTCATACTGTTAGTTCTTTGGGGCAGGGACTCAATAGTGCCATATTGAGTTACTTGAATTTTGTATGCAATAATACATACTGTAATAATAATAAAAATAAATGTACGCATAGAGAATTTGTAAAATGCTAGGCCCTATTAACCCAGTTCTGGAAGGTGTTGAGCACCCCCATAGCTCATTTTGACATCAGTGTAATTGAGTGCTTTGCACATCCTAAAATGTATTTTGCACTTTGCAGGACAGGGCTCAGTGGTTTGCACATTCTTTCATCTTGTAGATGTGTATTAAGTTTAGAGGGGAAAGCCTCTTGTGGACATCCTCTATTTCATCCTTTCAGTTCTGTCATCCTCCTTGAACTTACTGTCACGGTCAGCTACATGAAAGTAGTATCAGTTAATAAAGGCCATGGAACTTGCAAGCTAATAAAACTGGACATGAAGTCTTTTTTGTGCAAAGAGCATTAATATAAAAATTAGCATTAACAGGGTTTGTTTTGTCATAAACTTGTTGTGGTACAATTTGAATATGTTGCATCCTACATATTTACCTATGTCTGATTATTCTAATTTAATCATAATATACAAAGTAAATCTGAATTTCTTTTTTTATTTTTTTAGGAACAGTATGAATTCTGCTACAAAGTGGTACAAGATTTCATTGATATATTTTCTGATTATGCTAATTTCAAATAAAACTTCCTGCCTTATTTTTTATTTAATAGTCTGTATAAAGATTTGTAAATTGTTAATTTATATCATATTTCCTTTATAATAATTCCTACTGTAAATGATATTGCCTATGTATGTTGCTTTAAAAGTCACACTTGCTGTATAAAATTATAAATTACTCAAATATAAATATCTTTTAAAAGCTAATTATAATAAATGTTCATATACAAAATATCAATATATATGTTGTTATTGTATACATTTTTAACCAAATCTTAGTTTAATTTCTTTCTTTCCATTTTCAAAAAAAGTAAAGTGTTTATCAATATAAATTTTAATTCCCACGTTTACCAGCCCCTAAATTGTACAAAACTATTTTTAAATGTATATTAAATAGTGAATCAAAGATAACATGTTTTAAAGATAAATTATTATTCTGAGTGTTACCCTTCTTATACTGAAGTCAGTTACAAACAACTGATTTCATGAGTAATAATGCTAATTAGGAGCCAGAGTCTCATACACTTACTCATTTTCAGTAGCACCTCACTCTATAAATAGTGCCACTGAAGTCAATTAGACTGTTCCTAGAGTAAGGTGCTATTCAATGTGAGTAACAGTGCCTGAGTATGGGGTTTGGAGTATAACAACATATGCTGCAGTTGCAACTTAAAAACAAAATCTAACAGCCAGGTTTTGTAAAGCCAGTACACAGCTCTATTTCAAGTTAAGCTGTTAGAAATAATTCCATGTAAATACAGTTTAGTAAGTTATTTGATTTGTGTCATTTTGAAAGTTCATTTTACTTTGCTTTTTTATTAAATGTAATGTATTTTTAAAATGTTCCTGACTGAAATAGTTTTGTAATTTATGAGTAACTTTATCACTATTTTGAAAATCTTTTGCATGTCAGAAGATTAAATTTTGCTCTTGAATACTTTTGCTATACCTGAGCTTCTGTTAACTATTGCAAGAAACTTTATTCCTGTTGCCACAAACAGACATAGAGCTTGATATATGTATAGTACAGAAATGGACAGACTCTCTGCTTGAATGGAATATAAAAGCAACTTCTTAATTTTTTTGAAACAGCTATTTAATATTGAAATCCTACTGCTATCAACAGTAAAGGTTGCTGATAGGATGTATGTTCTTAAAATAATATCTTCATAGTTAAAAAAGCAGATCTTTCCCCAATAAAAAAGGGGGTAAATATGTGTGCATGTGTATATATAATGAAATATTTCATAGACCTGAACAGAATTTGAGGGATGGAAAACACAAAAGACACAAAGTATCTGAATGTTGAATTTTTACAAATATCTTTCTCATCCTTTAAAAAGCTTATATAAATTAATAAGCACAAATAAATATGAAAATATCTAATGTTAATATCTAATATGCAATAGTTCTGTCTTGTTTAATTGGTTGATTTTTGAATGCAAACATAAAAGCCTTATTTAAAAATAAGCAAACCTAAACTGATGTTTTCATTCTAGTTCTTGCACTGTTTAACCTTTGTTAATTTATTTCCAGAAATTATAAATTAAAAGTAGTTATTCTATTAACAATGCAAAGAGTAACAAAGGTGTTCACACCTCTTCTTTTATTACACAGAGTGCTGAAAATGGCTAAGGTTAAAAGTCTTTAAGCACACTATTTTCAACACTGCCATTTACTGTTTATTGTCTTCCCAGTAATGCACTGCTGTATATTTATTTGTACAGTAATTATGCACTTAAAAACTAAGACAACTTGTTGCTAGACTAAACAGTTTGATGTTAATGGATTAATTCAAACTGGAAGGACCTTTATTTGACTAAAGAAAAGAATGTTAAATAAGCTTTCAATTCTGGCATGGTGTGTAAAAATGGAAAATAAGAAGACATCAAATAAATGCAGTTACAAAAATCCAGTACATTAAGGTGAGCATTACACATATTTGTTGCATAGAAAGCATGTAAGAAAGATACTCAATTTTATTTTGATGATGAGATACTTAATAATTTTATCTATCAGTAATTACAGAATTATTCTCAAAAATAAATCTCAAGTGGCATAGTCTAGTTTTAATTACAAACAGTTAAACTTCCACTATTTTCTTTGGGATTGTGTTCTTACAGTCTCAATTAATCTTACTGTTTGGATTTTTCCCTACTATTCAGCCTATGGTTTTTTTTTCACTTTTTCTCTTTATTCTGTGATGCTACTTGGACCTGATTGTGTTCAAATATTTGATATGTTTATCTTGATATTACCTCACAATTGCCTCCTGCAGTAGAACTCACATTTGAGATGTAGTGTTCAAAAGGATTCCCTTTAAGGGTGTGTCCACACTGCACTGTTTTTCTAGAATAACAGCCGTTGTTACAAAAAACAATACTAACATCCACATAGCAATTGCGTTATTTCTCGAAAGAGAATCAAAATAACAGATGGCTTTTTCTGACGTCGGTAAACCTCATTCCACAGGAAATAATGCCTCTTTCGAAAAAGCACTTTCGGAAGAAGGTGTGTGTGGATGCTCCACTGCTGCTGTGTCGAAATAGCTCCTCACCAGAGCCATTGTACGTTATTCCTCCCCAGTGCCTCCTGGGGCTCTAAATCAAGGTAGCACGTCCACATTAGGGGAACCTGCCTCAGACTAGTTTGGAGGCTTCCTTGTAGTAGGGATGCTCTAATTCAAAATAAGCTTTTCTGGAAAAGCTTATTTTTGAAAGAAGATTGCAGTGTAGACGTACCCTAATATACCCTTTGCAGATTTAGGACCCAGATATCTGGTTAATCATTACAAAGTAGGGCAGCAAGTTAGCCTGTTGATGCAGGAAGTATCTGATACTAAAGAAAAACTATTAAAATTAAACAAAATGCCAAGAAATTCTTGATGTCTTTAATATCGACACCTAGGGTACCACAGAATACCCATACAAATATTTCAGAAGTGAGAAATACAGCTAAATAATGGCATTTTCTTATAATTTAGAAAGCTTGTTTTCCTATTCTTTTTAGTCCAATAAGGTTGTAGTACTTAATATAACAATCTAACAAATATATAGAAGGATTATCTCTTTTTAAATGTTCTGTGTTGCATGGAATTGCATTAAAATGCCAAATAGCGATTAGAAAATGTAAATTCTGATCTGTATGCATTATTGGTCACTATGTGACTGACTTTACTGTCTATTTTCATGCATTACATTAGACCCCAATTCATTAATGCATTTAAGTATACACTTTAAGTTTATCTCTATTCAGCAAATCATGAAAGAATGTGCTGAAGTCCCATTGTCTTTTGTGTTGCTGAAAAATGCTCTTAAATGCTTTGCTGAATTGGGACCTTAATGAAGAATGCATATTGTAATTACCAGTGTTTTAAAAAGTATTTTTATGTATCAGTTTTTTAAACTTTAAAAGGAACCTGGCCACCTGTGTTTTCAATATTTTGAAATATTTTAATTTCCTTGGTATAATTTTAATGTAAAGTTAATGAAACTTTTGTGAGTAACAAATTGTATTTAATTTGTCAAATCTTTATAATATATGTATGTATTATACAGTTTCAGCTATCATTGATATTTTCTTTTATTACATTTATAATTTGATCTTGCTGTGTTTATGCCAGTGAATGTTGCTGAATTATTTGTATATGCAAATGCAAGATCTAATACATTTTGATGCAAGAACAAAGCTTCTTTTTTATTTTAAGTCTGTTTTTATTTCTTTAAATCTCTTAATTTCATTCCTGTACTATGTGTTCACTTAAGCTAAGTATTCTAAAGGAGATAAAGCCATTACCCATATGAATTATTTTCCATTACTTTTAATCCAAAATTCTTTCAGACTGAGTAATATTCTGACTAAAGTCATAACTGACTTTATGCATAGAAAATTCAAGTAACTCAGTATTGTAATTTAGGACCCAAACTTTGAAACCTCTACTAACGTTCATAGTCCTAAACTATGTATAGACTACATCCCTCTTTCGAAAGGACATAGCCCTTACTGATCTGAATAGTCTCATTGTGGGTGTGTCTAAACTACAGGGTTTTGTCGACAAAAGTGGACTTTTGTCGACAAAACTAAACCTGCGTCTACACTACCGCTGAGTTCTGTCGACATAATGTCGACAGAACTCAGCAGTTTTGTCGACGCTGGTAAACCTCATTTTACGAGGCATAACGCCTTCTGTCGACAGAGTTCTGTCGACAGAAGGTGTTATTGCATCTAGGGTTGTGTCTAGACTACAGGGTTTTGTCGACAAAGCAGTTTGCTTTGTCGACAGAACTGAATGTAGTCTAGACGCTCTTTGTCGACAGAAGCTTTGTCGACAGTATCTGTCGACAAAACTTCTGTCGACAAAAGCCTGTAGTCTAGACATATCCTGTGTCACGTTCCCCTTCCCCCTCAAATAAACTCAATGAATAAAATAGCCTGATTGACTTCTGTAGGGCCAGGATTAAACACAATATTCCTGACTGAATAATTCTATTCCACTTCCAACAGACAGACCCTTGAATATACCAATTCCCACTCAACAGCTTTATCTATGAGGTGAAAGGATGCACAAACATCTCAGACAATGCTACCAATAGTTAAAAGGAATGAAAAATTTGGTACCTCACAGGAAGAGGAAACTTGGAAACCAGTCTGGTGCAATTTAAAACACATTTCATTACATCCAGTCTGTGTCTTAACCTGAATTGTTTAACCGGTTAGCTTCTCCCAGGAGAAAGCCTTCCAACCTCCTGCAGACTCTCAAAGCGGTTGCTCAAAAAAAATAATGGTAACATAACTGAAAAGCCACAGTCTTAGCTAACACTTAAGGTTAGGATTCTGTATCACCAGTTTTTCATGATTATTTTTGTTGTTATATTACCATTGTGCCTAGAAATACATGGGCCAGAACACTATTGTGATAGGCACTGTATACACACAAAACAAAAGACACTCTTTTGCCCCTGGGAGATTACAAACAATGACAAAAGACAGTAGGCACATGGGGAAGATAAGGACAATGGATGGATACAGACACAAGGGAACTGAAACAATATAGGTCAGCATGATAGGCTGCCATCTCAACACACCAGCAGCCTAGCTGTAGTCAACTTTTTTCATAGGCATCACAGAAGAGGAAGATTTTGAAGGAGGATAATGCTTTAATTTTGCAGATGCTCCAGGGGAGCTCATCCAAAGAGGTGGAAATGATTAAGGAAAGAATAAACTTAAAAAACAAAAACTGGTCTGGTAGCACTTTATAGACTAACAAAACATGTAGATGGTATCATGAGCTTTCATCTACATGTTTTGTTAGTCTATAAAGTGCTACCAGACCAGTTTTTGTTTTTTAAGTTTATCCTGTACAGACTAACTCAGCTACTCTCTGGAGCTAAGGAATGAATGTTGACCTGAACTGTATGATGTATTGCTGGGAATTCACAGATGAATTAAAGTTGTGGCCTAATAAAATGAACTTTTTTCCATGTTGGCTTTCTTCCTGCATGGTCAGCACAATGTTGATAAACATTTTAGGGGACTTCAAAAACAAGATTTCTTGTTAAACGCTGCCATGAGGTATTGGTCTAAAATCTGGATCTTCAGTTCATTATATAAATGTAAGAAAACAAAAAAAATAGCGTATAGGCCGACTTACCTTGTCATTATTCTTGAAACCCATATATGGCAGAGTCTCAAAAGGGCTGGAGAACCATCAGCCCCAGAAGACATCTGCTACCTGAAATCAGAAAAACTATAGAATTCAACATACCAGTTCTATTTGGACATGACCCAGTGAGTGTGATTCTCTACCCAATTACACATAATCTCTGTCTCATAGTGAGTCCAAACAAAAAGCAGAGGTAGGAAAATGAACGAGTCAGCAATGCACAGTCACAAGACTTTAGTGCAAGCCTGAAGTCTTTAGAGGTTGAAAGGCTGTTGGCAGTTTGGAATTGAATGGGTATGTCCAACTTACAATCCTTAAAAGCAAGTAACACCATCATCAAAAAAGTAGATGCTGAACAGGAGAGGAGCAAAGACATATCCTTATGCCACTTGATAATTCAGAAGGTATTGATGTCTCTCCATTGTCAAAAACATAACCCAGTATATCATCATAAAAGGAATGGACTATACTGATGAATTTTTCAGGACAGCTTATTTGTACTTGAGCACCTTCCAAAGCTTGTTTCTGTTGACTGAGTCGAACACCTTGGTCAAGTTGATGAAAATCCCATAGAGTATGTCTACACTACAGCACTAATTCGAACTAACTTAATTCGAATTAGTTAATTCAAACTAAGCTAATTCGAACTAGTGCATCTAGAGCTAAAAACTAGTTCGAATTAGCATTTTGCTAATTCGAACTAGCATGTCCACGTTGAGTGGACCCTGAACCAGGGTTAAGGATGGCCGGAAGCAGTGCCGGCAGGGCATCAGATGAGGACTTAGAGCGTGGAGCTGCTGCCTCAGGCTAGCCGAGGGCTGTGCTTAAAGGGACCCGACTCCCACCCCGGACAGACAGTTCTCAGGGGTTCCCCGCTTGCAAAGCAGTCCTGGCTTGGAGTGCCCTGAGTGCCCACACTGGGCACATCACAGCACTCGGCCATCAGCCCGGCTGCACTTGCCGCAGACTGCCATCCGGGGAGGGGGTTAATCGGGGGGCTGCAGGAGAGCTTCCACCCCGAGGAGCCCGCAGAGCCATCCCAGTCCTTCCCATCAGGGGCTCATACCCCATTCCTCCCTCACCTCCTTCCACTTACCCCTCCCTAGCCCCCCTTCCTGATGTACAAAATAAAGGACATGTGTGTTCAAAAATAGAAACTCTCTTTATTAAACAAAACTCGGGGAGACTGGGAAAAGGAGGTGGGAGAGGGGAAGACAGAGGGAGGGAAAGGGGAGGGCAACTAAAATGATCAGGGGTTTGGAACAGGTCCCATATGAAGAGAGGCTAAAGAGACCGGGACTTTTCAGCTTAGAAAAGAGGAGACTGAGGGGGGATATGATAGAGGTATATAAAAGCATGAGTGGGGTGGAGAGGGTGCATAAAGAAAAGTTCTTCATTAGTTCCCATAATAGAAGGACTAGAGGACACCAAAGGAAAGGAATGGCTAGCAGGCTTCAAACTAATAACAGAAAGTTGTTCTTCACAAAGCAAATAGTCAACCTGTAGAACTCCTTGCTGCAGGAGGCTGTGAAGGCTAGAACTAGAACAGAGTTTAAAGAGAAGTGAGATAAATTCATGGAGGCTGGGTCCATGGACTGGTATTAGCCAGGGGATAGAAATGGTGTCCCTGGCCTCTGTTTTGGAAGGCTGGAGATGGATGGCACGAGACAAATGGCTTGGTCATTGTCTTCGGTCCATCCCCTCCAGGGTACCTAGTGTT